ATATATATATATTGATCTTACCAAGAGTATCTCTCAATTCATTGGACTAAAGACTAATCTTGCTCGTAATATTATAACTGTCACTTGTCCAATGAGTTTCTTATCCTTGCTCCCTTCCCCTGTTTCTCAAACTTCTCCGCATCTATAATTTGAGCTTGGGTTTAGGAAATATGTTCCTCACCAACGGGAATCGAGTTTCCACAACCTCGTCTCTCTCATCTTTATGAATGGAGCCACCCCATGACTTTCTTAAAAAGTTTCACTTTCACCATAATTTTCTCCACTTGAGAGAATGGGGAAAGGGAACATAACTTTAAAGGGAGAAACTTCTCAATTAAAAACGTACTAAAGTTTGAAAAATGAAAGGATAAATGTTAGTAATTAGTGTATTATGTTAGTTAAGGATTCAAACTCACTCTCTCCTAATCACTCCAACTCAATATCCATCCTCCAAACCACCATACCACCTTATAACTCCCAAGAAAAATATAGGAATGAAGGAGATAAAAGGCTCTATAATGTATGTGCAAAATGAAGGTTTGAAAATATAAAAAATGAAAGTGGAAAATGAAAGGGACAATGGATATTTACATGCAACAATGGGGAACACACATCTCGTTGCTAAGTGGCCTGAATTGAAATGTTGCACAAATTGCATTCATGACCATGAGCCATGGGAATCGTTGATCCAAGGGTCCAACAACCTAACTTTTTGAAATTAAGGGTTATGTGTAACACTATATGTTTTAGGTGTTTTACTTGATTGTATGAATTATATGATTAATTGTTGTTTTATTATTATTTTGTTGCTTTAGAGCTTTAGGAATCAAAGGGATCTTAAGAGTTAAGTTGTCTTTAACGTAGTCTTGGTTAGAGTTAAATTGGTTCAACGTAAGAAAAGGTTTATAAAGTTTTTTCTTAATATGTGAGTCTCATAAATTCATGTTTTAAGAAAAAGTAGAGAGAAGGTCTCTAGAGACAAAAGAATTTCTTCTTCCCCTGTTTCCACTAATTTCTTCCCCTTCCCTATAGCTGATCTAAGGTGATTGAATTGGAGATTCAAGCTCACAGAGTTAGGAATTTATAGTCAAAACTGTGCGAAGTCTACATTCTTCATCCTCATCTTTGCTCAATTAGAA